TTATAATTTTTTTTTTTTTTTCAGTGGTTCTGTGATTTTTTATTTTTTATTTTTTAAGATTATTTCTCACATTTTCTTCTAGTTGCTTTTTTTATTTCCTTATTTTTTTTATTTACTATTTTGATATATTGTTCCTACCATTGGACCCCAAATAGATTATAACCATTATATGGTTTTTTTCTACCCTTGTATGTATTTTTTTATACACATTGTGGTTTCTTAATTTTTTTTTTTCCTTTTTTCTTTTGCCCATCCTTCCTATTTTTTTTTATTCTTTTTTTATTGTCATAATGATTGGTTCCATAAGAATTTTCAAATGCTAGGTGTCAATTTGCCTTGAGATATCAGTGGCGTCCCTTGAAACCCCTCAACTAGTCTTTAGTAATACCGTAATTCTGCCTTTTATTGGGTTCAACTGTGAAATACTTTTTATAAACTCCTAATGATTTACACTTTATCTTGATAGTCTTCATAGATTAATTTTGGGATTAATTATGTTGTTCAAGATATTTACTATTCTATTTAAACGATACGTAGTTTCTAACTTACAGTAATTATAGATATGGCCAGAAAAGGCCACTCTTGGTTTAACCCTATTTCAATTTCTCCAACTTTTGAAACCATTTCCATTTAAAACAACATACTTCACTCTCTCTAGTCAATTAGTATATCGACTATTTTTGTCGGGGTGTTAATTTATGAGTTTAATAGTCTGCAATCTATATATGTGAGTATATATATATATATATATATATATAAAGTATCCTTTACTTTAGAATCTTTTTTTTAAAAAAAACCTACGAATGTATTAGCTAGTCTATAACGGCTGAGTTATGTTCTATGTGTCCTTTTTATGATTCTGAGACCCCTTATTGTTAGATTTATAGGAACTCATCAGTTTGGCTATACGTAACCATAAGGTGGTTGAGCTACAGTGACGATCACTAGGCCTGGCTAGACTACATAAACCTGCGTGTTATTTTGAGTAACCACTACGAGTGAATTTTCTGCAGTTCCAGAGCTGTATTTTAAAGTGCAAGACCATCACTGAGATTATAATAGGTATGTGTGTGTGATTGTGTACATATTAGAAAGCCGCCAAAGGTATAATTAGCAAGCCTTAAGAAAGCACTTAAACTGGTGTATTATTTCCAGTTCTCCAGTAGATTTTGCAATGGTTATAGTAAGGTGATGATGATTGGAGTGGTCAGCAGTTATTTAACATGTTCTGAGGCTTTGAGCGTGATTCATGTGACCCCAAAAAACAAGTGTGGTTGTTAGTTTTTATATAGTTGAGAGTAGTATAGAATAACGATGACTTGTGGCTGTTGTATTATTGTGTACAAGAATGTGATGAGCACAGGAACTGAGTGTTAGATATAGTGATATATATATATATATATATATAAAGTGTAAATAACGTTGTTGTGAGTGTGTGTACCTTGATGAGGTCATTGAAACGTTTATTGTGTCAATAAGTTGATAGTACCGAAAAAGAAAAAATTAACAAATTCAAGAATGAAGAAAGTCGAGATGAGGGTAAGTAAACGACGTCGTCATTTGGTTTAATATATATATATATATATATATATGGCAAGTTGTCAAGTGCTATATTATTGTAAGCCGCAAATTCCATAGGCACAATTATGAGTGCTGATTTTGAGACGCATGTGAGTGTCGTTGATAGTTTATATAGTAATGAAGGTTTACTTTATTGGATTGCTAAATAAAAGCCGGGGGTTCCATTATTTGGAATAGTTGATTTCTACAATTATTGGTAACAGTGTGATGAACATTTCATTTGAGAGATTTTTTTTTTTAGTTTTTTTTTATTAGTGAATTTGATTGTGGAGCCAAGTTTATTTATGTTCAAGTAGAGTTGAAATATTTTTTTTTACTGAATAATTATTCTATAAGTAAAAGATAAGTGAGAGTAAGTTAATAAATATAGTATAAGACTTTAGTTATTGAAGTTGAAGTTGAAGTAGAGATTGATAGTGGTGGTAGGTTTTAAAGATGTGGATAATAGTATTTTTTTTTATTAACTGGTTGATTTGAAATTTTATGATGATTTTTTTTTCTTTTTTTTTTTTATCTATATATATATATATATATATATATAAATAGTTGAAATATAAATAAAGATTCTTTAGTTTTATTGGGTTTTTAAAAAAAAAAAATGAGGTTTCACATGAATATCTTTTTAATTCAAATAACGTTTACCATTAAAAAAAAAAAAAAAAAAAAAAAAGGGAAGAAGATAAGCTTAAAAAAAATATCGATAAAAGATTTAAAAAATTAATTTTTTTTTTTTTTTTTTCAAAAACAGGACTTTTAAGAGAGTATTTATAATTTATTTATTTGAGAAAAGTTTGATTATCAATTATTTATTACTACCAATTTTAATTTATATATATAAAGGGTATTTTTAGTATTAGTAGTAGATACCTGTCAGTTTGTATTTAGACGAGTAAATGTTCAAAATGGGAATTTAAAGTTCAGTCAAGTTGAAAATTTGTACGTCGGTGGTTTTGCTGGTTTATCAAGACAAGGAACAAACCCACCTCCCCCTCCAAATAAAAAAAAAAAAAAAAGGAAGCCGTACGATGAGATCTAAGAACTAAAAAAAAAAAAAAAAAAAAAAAAAATTAAATAAATAAATAAATAACTACAAAAACAACAACATGGGAAATAAAGAAATAAAAAATAAAATTGAAGTTTTTAATGATCACAATGTTAATTTAATCAATTAAGAAGAAAAAAATTAATAAAAAAATATTTCTAAATTATCTTTTTTTTTTTTTTTTTTGAATGTGACTAATAAATAAAAAATAAATTTTGATTCTATTGGAAACAACTAGCAATATATATATATATATATATACTCACACAAATTCACGTCACAAGGCATACGGCTTTCATCATACACAGCCTTGATTTATTATTATTTAACGGAACATTTCCTTAAAAAAAAAATTTTTTTTTTATTTAATTTTTATTTTTTTATTTTTTTATTTTTTTATTTTTTTATTTTTTTATTTTTCTTATTTAACTACTTTCAGTTTATTATAAAACTTGGAAAGTTTTAGTTTTGGTTTTTATATATATCTAAAAGATTTTAAATTTTCATTTTTTTTTTGTTTTAAAAAAAAAAGGATATTTTCTTTCCTTTCCTTTCCTTACCATTCCAACTGGCTGGTTAACTGGCTGGCTGGTTGGCTGGTTGGCTGGTTAAGTTAGTTAGTTGTTTATATCTAAAAAAGAAAAGACTAGAAATGGGAGATTAAGGGGACGCACCAAAGTAGAAAAAAATGCAGTGTAGTGGATTTTGTATGTGTGTGTGTATATATATATATATATATATATATATATTTATTTTATTTGGGTACAATTGGGTGCGTACTAATATAAATTCAAAAAAATAAAATAAAAAGAAAGAGAGAGTCTTGTGATTTTATAAATAAATTGAGAGCGTACGTATATTAAAAAAAAAATATTTTAAAAGATTTAAATCTTTGATTTTTAATAAATATATTTATATAAAAAGTCTTTAACTTTAACTCAATGATTTACAAATGTGGATATTAAAATGAATTTGAAGTCGAAGTCGAAGTTAAAGATAAGCGATAAATGATAAATTAAAAGGGGGGGGAAGGAGGAGGAGGAAGGGGAGAAGCCTTTTTTTAGTATTTAAAACTAAAAAAAAGATTTTTGTTTATATAATAATTTATTATATAATAATTTATTTAATAACAATAATAATAATTATAACATCAAATTAATCCCCCGTTTAAATAAATAAAGAAAAAAAATAAAAAAAAAAAATAATAATAATAATAATAAAAGCCCTTACCCTTAGCCATTTTTCGTTAATTTCTAACTACCAAAAAACCCGCGCCCCGGAGAAATAAAAAAAAAAAAATGTAGCCGCACACATGAACATGTAAAAGTTAGTTTATTTAACAAACTTGTATTTTATAATTTAAATGATTTAAAATATAAAAAAATATAATAAAATTTAAAAGTATTAATATTATATATATATATATATATATATATATATATATATATAGAAGATTAAAGAAACAAAAAGAAGAATATATATATATATATTTTTTTTTTAAATAGAAAAATTTTTTTTATTAAAATAAAATAATAAAAATAAATTGTATTATTATATGGGGTAGTAGGCTACTTCTTACTTAAAAAAAAAAAAAAAATTCAGGAGCATATCCCGGGGGAGAAGAGGAAACAAGAAGAAATAAATAAAATAAAATAAAAAAACGTTTTCTTGTAATGACTGATTTATCTATGAATTATTGTTATTATTATTTTTTATTTATTTCTATAAAATATTTACATATATATATATATATATATATATATATATGAATAAAAAAAAACATTTGAAAAACGCCACTGATGATAATGATAAGACGAATGTGCGCGTGACTGATTTTTGTTTGAAAATAAATTAAATTAAATTAAAATAAATTAAATTAAAAAAGTCTTGTGTCTAAGTTTTTTTTTTTTTTATTTATTTATTTATTTTACATAAATATATATATATATATATATATATATGTATATATATAAATATTTATATCTTAACCATCATTATACAGTGTATGTATTAAAAAAAAATGGCTTACACACACACACATACACATCACCTGCTTTCTGTGGCAAGAAGGTAGTAATAGTAGTAATAGTAGTAGTGGTAATAGTGGGAAGGGACAGCTTTTAGTTTAAAAGAAAGAAATAAATAAAGAGAGAGAAAAAAAAAATTATATAAATATCCAAGAAGATCTCATCAATTTTAATTCCTTTTCTTCTTCTTCTTTTTTTTTTTTTTTTTTTTTTTTTTTTTTTTTTATTTCTATTATTAAACGAAAATAATTATTATTTAAATATAATCAACAACTCTTTTGAATTCAAATATCTTTTCAAAGATCCCTCAACATATTTATATATATATATTACCATACAACTAAATAACAATGTCTACTGCTGCTCCTGAAATTAAGACTGAGGTATGTTTTTATTTATTTATTTATTATTATTATTATTATTATTATATCTTTTAAAACTTTTCCTTCTCTCCCCCACCTCTCTACTCTCCTCCCCTCAAATAAGAAAATCTATCAAACTAACACTTGTTTCTTTAGACCCCTGTCGTTGAAACTCCTACAGTCGAAACTACTGTTGCTCCTGTAGTTGAAACCCCTAAGGAGACTACCGAAGCCCCTAAGGAGGAAGTCACTCCTGCTGCTGCCACTGAAGAAGCTGCTGCTGCTGCTACTGAAGCTGCTGATGTTGCCGCCACTACTGAAGAAACTCCCGCTACTGAAGCCCCTGCTGCCACTGAGACTCCTGCTGAAGAAGCCCCTAAAAAGGTTTCTTTGCTTAAGAAGATTACCAATGGCTTTAAGAAGCTGCTGAAGGGTGTTTCCAAATAAATGAAAAAAAAAAGAAGAAGAAAAAAAAAAGAGAGAAAAAAAATGATTAAAAAAAAAAAAGAAGGTGATTTTTTAGAATTGTCTTTTGAGAAAAAATTTGTTCATGAAACTCAATTGGCAATAACTATTTTTTTTTATTTCTTTTTCTTTGTTTTTATTTCTTTTTCTTTCTTTTTTTTTATTTTTTGGGAACCTTACAATTTTATTTTATTTGAGAAGAATGGTTTTTAACTTCTCAACTTTAACGACTTTTAATTTTGTTTTTTTTTTTTTTACATTTGATGGACACGATGATGAAAACTATCTTTGGAATGATGAATAGAGAAAGAAAAAAAAATGAAGAAGGAAGGATGAAAGAAGATTAAAGAGCATTTAATCATTTTTTTAAATGCTTTTTTGTTTTATTTTATTTTATTTTATTCTATTCATTTCATCTTTTTTTTTTTCTTTCTTTGATTTCTCTGTTTTTTTAAAATCTTCTCTTATAACCCCCCCCTTTTAATTTGTCTTTTTTTCTATATTTATGATTCAATACTTATAATAATAATAATAATAATGTCTAATATATTTATAATTTGTCTTTATTTTTTTTTTTCTTATAAACAAAAAAAACTTTTTAATCTGAAAATTTTTTATTTTTTTTAAAAAAAAAAAAAAACGTTTGGATTTTTTTTCTTTTTGGTTTCCAAACAGGTAACAAGCCCATTTTTTCCAAATTAAAAAAATAAAAAAATAAAAAATATTAAAAAATATTAAAAAATTCAAACATTTGGCAGGCAACCCGGTTGTGTTGCCCAAGTAGCCGAGGCGTTGTGACTGACACACACACAAATCAGGCAGTTATTGAGTTAAGTAGTCAAAAAAAAAAAAAAAAAAAAAAAAAAAAAAAATTTTTAGCAGATCAAAAGACGAAGTTTGCACCAGCATTTAGGAAAACATTTTTTTGAAAAAAAAAAATAAAAAAAATAATAAAAATAAAAATAAAATAAACACAATTAATCCCAGCTACATCTGCTCTGGTTACAAAGAAGAAAAGATTTAAATACCAAATACCAAATAACAAAAAATAATAAAAATAATAAAAAAATAAAAGACTTATTGGACTTATAATTATATCTAATTTAATTATAATTAAATTAGATCTGTGGTTGTTGCTGCTAGATTAGTTTTAAATCAAGTCTATCTATTCAAGAAAATAATAATATTATTAATAAAGTCCTTAAGAGGTTATTGGATATTTTCAACATTAACTTCAAAAATCAACCTTTGAAGTCAATTACCATCTTAAAAAAAAAAAAAAAAAAAAAACAAATATAAAAAAACAAATATAAAAAAAAACTATTTAAACCAAGTATTTCTTCTTCTTCTTACTTTCCAATTTTTTTTTTCTTTTCTTTTCGAGAAAAATACGATCGTTTAAAAAAAATAAAAAAAAAATAAAAAATGTTGATTCCGAAATTCATGTCCTTGTGACTTTTTTATTGTTATTGTTATTGTTATTGTTATTTTTCTTATTAGGTAGAACCTATTAGACATTCCTAAATTCGTTTCACAAAAGTTGACTCTTAATTACATCATTTATGACTAATTTAAAATGACTTAACACATATTACATATTACATATACCCAACCTTCTAAATTTTAATTCATAAATACCAAGTATCTCCTTATTCTTTATCTGAAAGTCTCGACTCTTGTTTGTATCATCGCACAAAATATACCCGAAAATAAAAATAAAATAAAATAAAATAAAATAAAAATACCCCCCCCACACACAAACACTTTTGATGGCGAATCTTCAAGACATAAAACATCCATTCATATCAATTTATAATTATAAATAGTTATAATTATAATTATAATAATAAATACCATCCATCCGTCCCATCTTTTGGTCTACATTTATTTTTTTTTTATTTTTATATTTTACCTCCCCACATTTTCTCTTAAATTATAAATATCCGTCTTTCTTTCCCTTCCTCCTTAACTTCTTCTTTTTCTTCTCCTCTTTTCCTTTTTTATTTTATTATTATCTCCCATTTATCCCATGCTCAAATCCTCCTCTCAAACTCTTCTTAAAATGTCCTCCACTCAAGCTCACCTCCTTACCTCCGCTTATGGCCCAGAACCTGTCAATTACTACGGCCATTCCTCTCTTAACAGACTCAGCTTTCTCCGTGAAAACTACTCCTTTCTCCACCAAGCAGTTACTCACCCATCTACCAAATTTCTTCTTCTTGATGGCCTTTCCCCACCAATTGTCAAAGCTGACAATATATCCCTTACTCCCAAACCATTCCAAGATCTCCCAGACTCTGAAAGGCCTCCCTATAAATCACGCCCAGCTGCCCATAACCTTGTGTTTCTGAACTATTCCCAGGTCAAATCCTTTGTCGGAGAACCTTTCAAAACACCAGAACAAACTGCAGTCAAAAACTGGGACTCTTCGCGCGATGCAATTGGTGCCTCCAATACCCCACTTGTTGTTTTCCTAGGAATTGAAGAAACTAAACACCACTTGTCTAGTAATACAAATGATGATGAAAGGAACCCTTCCATTTTCACTTTTAAACATACAAATAACTGCCATTACCACGGAACACCTTACTTTGCAGTCGATGTGTCCCAAGGATATCTCAAATCAGAATCCTTAAAAAAGGCAGCCCAAGATATCAAAGAAAGTTCCCCCACTCTCCAAGCTGGCTTCGAATTACGATTTAACCCATTCGCCATCCGTCTCTCACTTGAAGAGTCTTCATTGCTAGCACAGGCCCGCCAGTATATTGATTGGAACGCCCGTAACCGGTTCTGTGGAGGCTGTGGAGCTCCGACAATGTCGATAAACGGTGGTACCAAGCTAGTGTGTCCAGGAACAGACGCTGGGGTTGAAAAGTCTCCGTGTCCCACACGTGGTGTGATTTCCAATCTCCAGTTCCCACGCACTGATACTTCTATCATCACGGCCGTAGTCAACCATGCTGGCAACAAGATTCTGCTGGGCCGCAACCGCAGGTTCCCTCCTGGATTTTACTCATGTTTGGCCGGGTTTCTGGAGCCTGCTGAAACAATCGAGGACTGTGTTCGCAGAGAAGTTTGGGAAGAAGCTGGCGTACAAGTAGGCAGAGTGGTGATTCACTCTACTCAACCATGGCCTTTCCCTGCAAATATCATGGTGGCATGCATTGCCCAGATTGCAGACGCTTCACCAGAAGCTCATGCTATCCACTTGGGCCATGACCCAGAACTTGCAGATGCTAAATGGTACACTTTTGACGAACTGCGCGAATCGTTTAAAGCTTCAACTCTTGAAGGTGCTGTCTTTGGAAGTAGACCAGAGAATTTGCCTGAAGATGCACCTCAGTTGCCTCCTCCAGAGGCTGTTGCATGGACCCTAATTGATGCTGTATTGAGTGGCCGTGTACGGGGTCTTTCCAATTCCAAGATTTAAAGAGAATTCTTGGAATTTTTTTTTATTTTATATTTATTTTATATTTATTTTATATTTATTTTATATTTATTTTATATTTATTTTATATTTATTTTATATTTATTTTATATTTATTTTATATTATTTTTCTTTTTTGCAAATAAATTTTTAGTAGTAAGCTTAAAGTATTTTTATTCTTTTTAATATAAAATATAAAATATAAAAAAATAATATAAATATTTACATTTAAATTATGCCCGTTTTAACATATATAATGACTGAAAACAGTGCTTGAATGATATAATACCGCAGTACATTGGTAATATTCCACTCAGTCCATGAAACATACTCCCAAGGCTCTTTTAATGCAACAACACCTGCACCCCCATTCTCATAAACTTGGTCCCTAACATTTGCAAACCTATCTGGGAAATCAGTAATAACTCCCGCTAAATCTGCCGCAATCGCCCACTTCATATCAGCTTCCCGGTTCACAGTCCACACATAAACTCGTACACCACGAGCCTGGGCGTCACGAAGTAATTTAGCTCCGGCCGACGACACAAGAGCCGATACGTGCAATGAAATGGCCTTGAGAGGATTTATTTGATGACTTCCCTGGGCATTGCTATTGTTAGAATCTGATTGAAGAAGAAGAAGAGGAGCCGTTTCGTCCGTGGGGAAGGTTGCCACGGAAGATTCTTGTTCCTTGGTAGACTCCCGTGCGGGCCGTGGTGCGGCGCGGTCCATAAACGTGCGAGCGAGTTTGCGCGATACTCCAATAAAGCACAAGGGAATACCATGGTTTTCTCCAGCCAGGGCTTCTTCCAAAACATCTAATCTCCAAATCCCAAGAACAGCATGGGTTTGCCAAAAAGTTTTAGCATCATCTTGGAAATTGACTGTATCTGTTCCATCTGCAATAACGTCCGTCAAAACTTGCTCAAGAACAGAAACAATGCGCCGCACGATTCCTGGAGTGTTGGAAATCTTGACATCCACCATTAGTTTGGCATGCTTGTATCGCTCGTCCGCCACGAACCGGCGCGCGGCAGCATAAAAAGTTGGCATTCCAAAAGCTTCCAATTCTGCATCTGATGGTTTTTTCGCATTTGTTGTAGTTGTAGTATTTCCATTGTCTTTATTACTTTCTTTGCCACTTGAGCGGGCGGATTCCTGTTTTAGGGCCTGCGCATTTGATGAATATGAACTTGTGAGCTTCCCCGTGCTCACGAGGATATCTAGTACGCCCTTGTAAGGAGTTTTTTGAATGTCAAGGCCTGGAAGGCCAAAACAACGGCCAGTGTTGGGATCATGCGACACTACTACTGTGTCATCTGAAGCAAGTTGGACGTCTAGCTCAATAATGTCTGCACGACCGACTGTGACGCCGGCATCAAAGGCCGTCAAAGTATTTTCTGGGAATCTGCCTTTGAAACTGTTTGTTTGAATGTGGGGAAAGAGGAGGGAAATCTATGTTAGATGGTTGGGGACATTTGGAATTGAGAAAGAGAGAAAAGGGGATTTAAGGTCAAATGATAAGATTTAAGGAATGATCTTTTAGATGTGTTTGAAGGTGATTTTTAAGAAATTTGTTGTTGTTGATAAAGCCATAGAATAAATAATAAAATTAAAAATAAAATAAAAATAAAAAAGCCGTTATAAATCTTAAAATGACTGGCTAATTGAAGAGAGCAAGTGGGCCCACGTTTTTGCGCACAAAGAGAGACTTACTTACCCACGATGGCCGACGACAGCCGGGAAGTTTTGTTTATGGAGAGCAAAAGGCGATGATAAAATAGTCATTTTTAAAAGATGTTTAGAAAGAAGTTAAAAGAAGTGTAATTTGTAAAAAAAAAAAAAAAAAAAAAGAGAAAAAGATTGAGATTGAGATTGAGATTGAGATGAATGGTATTTGTGAAAGGAAAAAAAAAAAAAAAAAAAAAAGAAGAAGGGAAAGAAAGAATAGAATAAATAATTTTATTTAAATACTTTTTATAGAATATAACCGGGTATATAAAGTTCCAGTAGAAGGAAAAAATACTTTAAGAAATACTAACGGTGGTGGTAGGTCCTAATTCAGAACAAGTCCGTGACTTGACATCAGAAGTAGCAGTAAGTATATATATATTTATGTCCGCGCTATGTTAATGGCGGAAAAGAAAAAAAAAAAAAAAGACAGCAAGACATTTATTTAAAAATATGAAAGAAAGTTACATTTTTTTTCTTTTGATTAAAAATAAAATAAAATAAAATAAAAGACCGCAATTTCGTCATTTATTTTTTTTTTTTTTTCATTCTAAAATTTATAGTTTATATAAATTTTTCAACTTAAAGTTGGGAATTTTTATTTAATTTTTTATATTTAAAGAAAAAAAAAAAAGGGCAGATGGAATAATTATAAATTACATGAATGTCACGTATTAATCACATGATCTTCACATGACTATATCTAAAGGTCTTTCATAAAATACCCATGAAACTCCCCCCCTCAGCCCCTCCCTCTCGCATTTAAAAGTTTTGCTCCATCACTTTTTTTTTCGTACTTTTTCAATAAACACCTAAACAACATATCCTACTTTAATCACAACCATGGGAGCCTCTGACTCAAAGCTCCAATTTAAAAACCATGTCTTCAGGCTTATTGAGGTCCCAGAAATCCCAGCAAATGATCCCTACTGGGCCCAATTTTGGCAGCAACCCGTGGCTGTTGGTGACATCTTTACTCTCTTTACTGCCTCAGACATTCGTCAAACCCGCGATCGGTCTCGTCGCAACTTGGAAACTTTCATCCTAGCACTTACCGGCCGTTTCTTCTACCTAGCACAACACCCTCAGTTCCCTCATCCGGAACTGGCCCCGCAAAAGGAGCTCCTAAACTGTGTCCGACTCCTAACCCGTGTGCTGCCCTTCATCTACGAACAACGACATCAGTCGCATGAAATTGATTACTGGCATGAAACCTTTTTCTGGGGGAAAAGACGCGTACGAAATCATCAGGCGAAAAGTACCGATAATAATAATGAAACATCAAACGCAACTCCATCATCTAGCTCGGATACCCCGTTTGACCAAGAAGAGTTTGACAGAACAGCAGCTGAGTTTCATGAAGCTAAACCCCTTGGAGAACAACTCGTAGATACGGCCTTTGCTTTGCTTTTTTCACCTGGTTTCACAGTTCCCCGTTCAACAACATTGTCTCCAGCCTCTCATCCTATCTGGGAAACTGGTGTCGGTTGTACCACTCCAGTGTCTTCCACAGGTGAGCAGGATAGCAACAAGATTGAGATTCTGCGGTTTCTTCTGGCCCTTATCTCGGATTCACTCTATGTTCCGGCATCCCTACTCGTTTCCGAAGGTTCTAAAAGTTTAACCTACATGGTCACACAAACAAATCGCAAAACTGCAATGGCCATCCTCTGCTCACTGCTTAATACAACACTTAAATATAGCCCCCGCTGGAAAGTGCCCTATGATCACATGCTGGTCTCAGACGGTCATAAGGTTCTTATTACATACTCTCTCCAGTTTCTCGAAGCTTTGCTCATATACCCCATCCCTGAAACCCAAACATCTCCTGCTGCTCTTAAAAATATTTTCCGCCAGCTTTGCAGTAAAATCCACAAGGTCGAGGATCTTCAGTTCATTGGAGACTCTCTCATAAAAATGCTTTCACAACCCATCCATGCATCTTTCTCATATCTCCCTGGATCTCGTCAAGGTATTCCTTGGGTCACAGAACTTGCCATGTTGTTTTGGGACTTGGTCCAGTGCAACAAGAAACTCAAGACATTTTTAATTGCTACCGAACGCATGTACGACTGTGTAATTATTCTTCTTTATTATATTCACGAAAAGGCTGCAGATCCATCCAAAATCAACCTGGTCAGACTGTGTGCTTACGAGTTATTATACCTTACTGGTGACACAACTTTTGCCGCCACTCTTTCAAAGAAATTCACTGGCCAAAGTCTTCTCCCCAGTGCCATTCAGCTGTCTTCTTTCAACGGTTCTTATGGCGATTATCTCATTATTCAACTCATTAAAACTATCACAAGCCAAAAGCAAAATAATCTCGAGCTTTTGGTCCCTACTTTCCTTAACTGTATTCTCAACATTGCACCATATACCAAAAACATTTGCTACCAAGCTGCATCTTCTCTTGTCCAGCTATGTGCTACTCTTTCAAATCCTTCATTTTTGTTTGCCAGTGAGTCAAACCATATACTTTTAGAAATAGTTCTCAAGTCTATCAACCTCATGATTGAGTGCAACTTTAACTCCAACCGCAACTTGATTTTCCTTATTGTCAAAAACGAGCGTGTATTCTTAACAATCAAGTCGTTGACACTTGAAGAAGATGTCGAAAGAATTCTTGTCCAAGTGGCCAATAAACCCGGTGATACCAAAATCACATCTTCATATGCAGCTTTGGAATCAGAATTTGTGATTGAAAGTGATAGCGAAGAAGAAGAAGGGGGAGAAGAAAAAGAAGAAGAAGAAAAAGGAATCCCTCCTGAAACTTCAGCACCACCATCTCCTCGTAAAGACAAGGGTAAGGGCAAGGGGGTTTCTGATAAAAAATCTTTAGGAGGAACCCTTGGAGCATATTCTAATACCAAAAATAATGGTGGATTTTCACCCATGCCAGTATGGGTAAACACCTGGCTACCATTGCTTCCTATTCATACAACAACCTCTGTGATTGCACACATTAAAGAAACTGTACCTTATTTTAAAACAGCAGCCACGTCACTTGAAGCCAAGCTGGAGCCCAGTAAGGCTATTGACGCTATTGCACGCGTACGTTCCATTCCTGGTGTCATTTTCTATGGTACATGTAACGAAACTTTAGGAGATGACGCAGCGCCTTTGCCACCCACCATCACACTACCACCAGACTTTGAGGTTGCGCGGTTTGCGTGGAACGCAGGATCGCTCGGCTGGTACGAGAGCATATTGTGGGGGTGCATATTCCAAGCAGAAAGCGAGGTGGTAGTCACTGACAATAGCATGTTGCACACAACGAGTAATAATTGTATGCCTGTAGGTGTGTGGAATGGTACGGCAATCAAGCTGTTTCGATTGCAGGAAACTGCGCCCAGAGGCCCGTCACTATTACGGCCAAAAGGTGCTGTTGATGCAGTTGCAGAAACAATGCTTCAAAAGATTGGGCAGTTTGGTCGTGGTAATGGTAAATGATTTTATTTATTTTATATATATGAAAAGAAAAAAAGAAAGAAAGAAAATAAAGCAAAAGAATAAAACAAAATAAATAGAAAAACAATAAAAAAAAATAAAAGACTGTGTTAATTGTTTATCGCTTGCGGCCACGGCCCTTCTTTTGAACAAGTTCGAAACCGTCATCGTCAACAATCGGACCTCGTGGCTCGTCCGTCATCTCGACATCTTCTGTGAGCTGTGGCACTGCCGCGTCATCGTCTTCTTCGTCATCCCATTCCTCGTCATCATTGTGGTCGTCTTCGTCATCGCCTTGAACTTCGACTTTGATTGGTTTAATTTTTCCTTCTTTTCTCAGTTTTTCAGTTTCCTGAAATTTTTTGTGAAGCGCGTCAACGCGTGCAAAATCCCCCCGCTCACAGTCTCTATAAATCTCAATAATTTCCACAGCAATGGGAAGCGCGGATTCGTCTTCCACAACCACGTCAAACTCATCAGACATCACTTGCAATAACCGGTCCTCAATGAACCCGGCATCCACATATGACTCGCTGAAAAGCTCGGCAACAGATCCTACCAGCCAGTCACGCTTATCGGAACTGTCGGCGCCACCCCATTGACCCTCCACTGCTGCTGTAAGGATATCCCACTTGTAGATCGCAAGACACAGCCCGAGTTCCAGTTGGTTCTGGGCCTTTCCTGGGAGTGTAAGGGAGCCGTTTTTGGCAGAAGATTCGACGGCATATTTGCCAACATCAAAATTTGTAGAGTCCATGCTGTTATTGCTGATTTCTGTTTTTTTTGGTGAATTATATATATATATATATATATATGGGATTGTTGATTTAGATTGAAATTTTTGGTCAGACTGAATGTTGAAAAAAAAAAAATCTTTTTTTTTCTCTTCCTGTAAAAAAAAAAATTCAGCCGTACATAATTTGTAACATAGTTGTGACATTACTTTACGCCGCATTGTATTACAATTACATTCTTTTATTTTTTTGTAACAAAAATTTCAGCCTCTTGCCCTTCAACTTCTACCTCCCTCTGCCGGCTACCGCTTGCAGTAAGCCCTAAGCAGGTCAGCCGCAACGTTTTGGTGTCAGTTGCTGCCACCCCTCAGACAAACAGACAGAAGAGACAGATATATGGCAAATCACCACACTGCCAAAAAAAAAAAAAATTACAATAAAAAAAAAGGGGTGAACCTCTTTCTCCTACTTCCCACCACCTGTTTTTTCAACTCAGAAATTTAACGATATATTTCTCTTTTTTTTTTCTCTCTTATATCCATATTTTGGACTTTTAATATTCTATTTATCTTATATAATTTATTCATTTGTATTACCGTTTATAAGCAAACTTCAATCGCATCTATCTAATTATCCTTGTATAACCAACAAACAAGAAACCCTCTCCCCTTGACTCACCATGTCTAATCCGTACCCTAAGCCTGCAGAGGACACAGCAGCCCAAAACTCTAGACAACTCGAGAATGCTATCAAAGCATTCCAACAACGTAAACCGGTCCAGCAGGTCGACCTGACGGTTCATAAAATGGACGACGGCACTGAGGCCTCCACAGTTGACCGTGTTGTTCAAACGGTTCGTGCTCCTGCATGGCGCAAGCCCACAGACGAAGAGTTTTTTGACAAGTCCGATCCTACAAAACCCAACCTCGAGTTTCTTAAAAGCCACCTTTACAGAGAAGGTCGTCTTACGGATGACCAAGCTCTCTATATTATCAATTCTGCCTCGGAAACTATGCGCTCAGAACCAACCCTCCTCGAAGTCAGCGCCCCAGTTACCGTCTGTGGCGATATCCATGGCCAATATTATGATCTTATGAAGCTCTTTGAAGTCGGTGGAGACCCCTCCAAAACCCGCTACCTCTTCCTCGGAGACTACGTCGACCGTGGTTACTTCTCCATTGAGTGCGTGCTCTACCTTTGGGCTCTCAAGATGTGGTACCCCGACTCGGTGTTTCTGCTGCGCGGCAACCACGAGTGTCGCCACCTCACAGGCTACTTTACCTTCAAGCTCGAGTGCGAGCACAAGTACAATGAAAAAATTTATGATGCTTGCATTGCTTCCTTTTGCACTTTACCCTTGGCCGCTGTCATGAATAACCAGTTCCTTTGTGTTCATGGTGGCCTATCGCCTGAGCTCCATACCCTCGACGATCTACGGACTCTTAACCGTTTCCGCGAGCCGCCCACCCATGGTCTTATGTGTGACCTGCTTTGGTCCGATCCGGCAGAAGACTTTGGCCGCGAAACTACCTCAGAACATTTCACCCGCAACGATGTCCGTGGGTGCTCGTATTTTTACACATACGCTGCAACATGCGCATTTCTCGAACGCAACAAACTGCTCTCTGTCATCCGTGCCCACGAGGCACAAGACGCTGGCTACCGCACATACCAACGTACTCGCACAACCGGTTTCCCCAGTTTAATGACTATCTTTTCTGCTCCTAACTACCTCGACTCTTATAATAATAAGGCTGCTGTTCTAAAGTATGAAAATAACTCCATGAACATTCGTCAATTCAACAGCTCGCCACACCCATACTGGCTGCCTAACTTTATGGATGTCTTCACCTGGTCTCTTCCCTTTGTAGGAGAGAAAATCACCGATATGCTCATTGCTATTCTCAACATTTGTACCAGAGAAGAGCTTGAGGAAGATACCGTTTTGGATATGAACAATTCCACCGTTCGCCAAGCCATTGCCGGATCTGATGCCAGCGGTTCGTCCACCGCTGGCTCTTATAATGGAGGCGTTGGTTCATCAATTGCTCCCGGCTCTACGTCCGCTGGCGGTAACAATGCTCAGAATTTGAGCATTGAAGAGCGCCGCGCCGCTATGCGCAATAAGATTATGGCTATTGGCCGCATGTCACGTATTTTCCGTGTGCTGCGGCAAGAAAACGAGAGTGTCAGCGAGCTCAAGGCACAATCTGGTGGAAAACTGCCTGCAGGTACTCTGTTCCTTGGATCAGAAGGTATCCGCAGGGCCATTTGTACGTTTGATGATGCCAGACGTGCAGATAGAGCTAACGAGGCGTTGCCACCGACGCACGAAGAAGCTGTTGCACAGAACGAGTTGGCACGTCAGGAACATATGCGCCAGGCAATGTCTGAAGCCGATCATGATGAAAATATCCAGCAACTTGCTCGCCGGTTAAGCATGGGTTAATAGCTTTTTTTTTTGGTTACATACTTTATATTGGGATACTTTTTAGAATTTTTTTTTTTTTTGGAGATATTAATGGAAGTGATGATATATACACATAAATAAGAAATGGATAATACACAATTTTTCATTTTCAAAAAAAAAGCCAGAGTACATTGATATTCATACTTTAGTGTAACTTGACTGGTATGATTGTGCTTTTTCTTTATCTAGTAATTTAGGTATTTTCTATCCTGATTCTATATAAAACTTTATGAAGTTTGAATGATTTGTAAAAAAACGATATACTGGTTTATAACTGAGATAGCTATAAAAGGTCATCTTTTTTCTATCTGTTTTTTTAGAATTGACAATATAACATGGGAGATATGAGTAAAGATCTAGATTCCTAATTTTTTTTTTTTTTTTTTTTTTTTAGAATAGAATGAATAAACTATTCTTCTGCCAAGGAAGTTTATACAAAGTTGCAACAACTGAGTAAGATCTTTAAACCTATTGGGTAAAATAAATTAATTAGATTAGGTTTTTTTCTTCTTCTTCTTCTTGTTGATGACGATGTTTTAATAATTAAGCTTAAGTACACCGTTAGGGTATATACTAATAATGAAAAGACTAGAAACCATAATAATTGAATCAAATACAAATCTTTAAAAAAGCATTCTGTGAATTATTTAAAAAGTGATATCAAAATCAAGGTATTATAATTTTTTTTTTTTTTTTTTTGGACTTCAACAGAAAGAAAAAAAAAAAACTAAAATAAGTTCTATTTGCAAAACGTTGATTATTCTAACTAAACTTTTTCTTAGACATTAAACAAAACAAACTTTCTTTCAAAAGTATCATCTTTTGTTATTTTGTAAAGTTTCATTTTTTTTTTTTTTGGAACAGAATATGAATGATATTTAAATATTGAAATAGGGTAATTTATACAACTAATATAGAAAGATATTGCTTATCAAAAGTTTTATTTCTTCTGGTCGTAAACTTAAGATAGAAATCATGTCAATTTTTCTCTTTTTTTTTCCAAATCATCATTGCTTAATATCTCTAGTTTGCTTATATGTTAGGTATATTGTGACTGATTCAGACTCTGATTGTTTAAAAAAAACTTACTTTAAAAAAAAAAAAAAAAAAAGAATCATAAAAGTTTGATACAATTTTTCTATCCATCTCTATCTCTATCTTTATCTCTATCCTTATTCCTTTTTTCTTTTTTCTTTTTCTTATTCTTTATAAATATTATTTCTTCCTTTCTCCCATATTTTGAGCACGTTTTTAAAGGTCTTTATCAAGCATACTCGGTAATTTCTTCTTTTCTTTTCTTTCTTTCCTTGCTTTCCCTGCTTTCCTTGCTTTCCTTGCTTTCTTTTTTTTTTTTGTGCTAGAAAATTCGGCTAATTTTTTCTGCTGTTTGAAGCAATAATAGAATCATTAATAATTATTAATGATTTTGAGTTATAAGTGAGGTTTCAATTTATTATAACTAAAGAACAAAAAAATTAGTGCCCTGGGTAAAATAGATTGATAGTTTGATTCATTCCGATTCCCGAGCTCTTTTTTTTTTTTTTTACAAGTACCTATATTTGTTATAAATGAGTTCATAAACTTATCTATAGAGAGATTATCTAAATCTCAAAAAAATTCGAGTGAATATATACTTTAATTGGGGAAGTTTTTGTTTTTTTTTTTTTCATTTCTAAATTGTGAATAGATTGTATATTGATGTATCTCTGAGGCAATAAATACCCCCCATCCAAAAAAAAAAAAAAAAGAAAAAAAAATACAGTTGGACCCTTTTAAAATATTCATTTCCCTTTCTTATTTCTTATTTTGGTATTTCTATGAAAGATTTTTTTTCGCTTTATGCTCATCAACTTACTCCATAATAGTTGTTTATAGCTATTGGCATTGTTGAAAAGTCATATATGACTATATATATATATATATACAAATCTAGGGCTCTTTCCAACAGTGATAAAATATATATATAAGCATTTATTTTACTAATAATTCTTTGTGTGCATTGAAAAATCAAAATCTGCAAGCCCTTATTCAATCATATTTAGGAGGTATTTTTATTTCTTTTTTTTTATCTTTAAAGAGTTCCTGCTCGCTTAATTTTTCAAATTATTTTCGCGCTGCAATTTTTTTTTTTTTTTTTGCTTTCTTTTTGTTAAAGTGCTTTGTTTGAGCCCTAGTCTGTCATTTTTCTCGGCCCGATATCAAAATAGGTATTTTTTTATGCATTTTAATAATCATTTCAAAGATACATGCGCATGTATTTTTGAAAAAGATTCTTACATCAACAAGCCAATGTTCTAAACAAACAATTGTAAGGAATTATGGAATTAGATTTCGGTTTTGTTTTTCTTATAAACTTATTCTGTAATTATAGACTTTTTTTGCCATGATATATTAATATAGATAAATTGATATTGAACTAGATAATCATTCCTTTTCTATGATACCGAATCAATAATGGTTATTAACTAGGTCAATTGTTTTAATATCATGTCAAGATTTACAAGAGTTAGATCTGCAACTAGTCGTTTAGTGCCTGGATCGGTTTTCCATTTTTTTTTTTACAACGAGAACACGTAATAAAGTAAACATTCAAAATAACTATTTTTTTTTAAAAAAAAGAGTTAAAAATGTTATTAGAATCGGCCAATATCCGGTTATTGATTGATCTATTCAATGGATATCATTGAACAATCTAGATGCATACGCAAGCTGTGATTAATTCACAATTCTTGTCGTATGATATCGAACCATAAGAAAGTTGGAAACTTTTAAAATAATTAATTGTAAATCTTGATCATGAAAGAAAAAAAAATTTCCCTTGTAGTCTTAGATGTGGCTGCATAGTATGTTGCAGTTATTTGCGTCCGGGATATAGTCCCACTGACCATATGATTTTTTTTGTAGGTGGTATATATACTTATAATTATGCGCTGAACAGTTCAAGTTACTTTTGGCCTGAGTATCTTCTTGTTTAGTTTTTGAAAAAAAAAAGAAAAGCTGAGATTTTCATATAAGTATACAATGTTGTGTCTGCCAATGATTCAATTGTATTTTGTTTGCTTGTTTTGGTGTTTTTTAAAGTAAACAATAGCCTTTTTCTACCTAGAACTTTAAGGTGATGTGTGACAATCATCATCCCTAAAGATGATACCACATCAAGTACAGGGTCTGATATTATCGGGAACCTAAACTGATATATTTATTTATGTTCATTTATTTGCTTTTTTCATTTTAATTGTTGAAAAGCGGGGAAACTCTTCCCAGCATTGGTATTGGTAAAATCTTTTAATCAACACTCTAGAAAATCAAATAGAACCAAGTCTTAGGTTTCTAAATACATTGGTATAATAAATTTTAGTGGAATCTTGATTTTTATTTGACAATTAGAATGCACAAGTAGCAATGAAACAAAAAAAATTCTTCTTTTTAGAGTTGAAGGCTTGGTATGGTGGTATAATAAATTAACTTGTGGTGATTGGTAAGTTCGATATGCGCAGTTCAATTTATTTTGATGGTCAAAGTAAATTTTTAAATTTGTGGATGCTATTTAAAAGTCGTGCACGTACTTGCCCCTTCCCTGATTTGCACATTCATTGGTTCAAAACGATTTCACAACTTAGTTCTAAGAATAAACTGACAACCTATTTACATACTAATTTTTTTTAAATACTTTTATTATTATTGTTTTTTGGGTATGAGTATTTTGAATATCTTTATATACAATTTACTGATGGCGAATTCCTACTTCCCGCAAACAAAGAGCCCCAATGATAATATAGCGACATGTTATTGAGAATGATACATGAAATATACGTGTGTCACTTACATAATGACACTGTGTTGTTAATATGTTATCAAAAGCTTCAATTATTCGTCAAATCAAAATAATTGAGACAATAAAGATTGAATGTTCAAGTACTAATGTTTTTTGTTATATTCAGACCAAAAACAAATCAAATACCACAAATCAGGAAATGCCAACTTTTCAAAAGTGAGAACCTAGTTTTCTTTATCTTTTGGTGAAACCAGTTTCCACCAGGTTTTAATATCTTTTGTGACATTTTTGTTTTTTTTAAATTCTTTGGGCCAAGCCAATTGTAAAAAGGAGGTCCCCATATATGAGGATATCTTAAGATTTATATAAGGCTTTTACAAGTGGGAAAGACATTTTTGAATTATTTATACAAGGCATATTTTTTATTCATTTTGGATTGAAACTGAGCAATTTGAAGATTGTAATAAAAATCTTAAGATAACCATAGTACCATAGTAACATAGTAACATAGTAACATAGTAACATAGTAACATAGTAACATAGTAACAAAAGCAAAAATAATTTCTTATATTAATACACTTCATTCATCTTTTGAATAACATCTGCAAATAATTTTTATTTTATTTTTATTTTCAAATTCACATTGTCTTTCAATAGATAACTGTTGTTGCACTTTGGTGCCGGATTATGATTAATTATTATTCTGATTCTTCTATTTCAATTCAGTGCCTTGTAAACGTCAACATTTTCACCCTTCTCTTGCTCTTCATTCATAGGAATTTGAGCAACCAAAGGGGGTGGGGGTGTAGGAGGGCATTTACTGAGTTGAAGATTTTTTCAAGGAATGCACAGACAAAATCAAGCTTTTTTCGGAAACTCAGACCTAATCAAGACATTAAAATCCACGTGACTTCCTTAAATGTAAACAAAGTCTTTCTACTTTTAGAAGTTTCAGCCGTGCGGCTCATGTTTTTGTTGTTTTTGTTGTAAAGTTGTTGCCTTGGCGACGGCATTTTCACCACTGATGTTGACAATCTCTGCACTTTTTAAAAGTCCTGATCAGAACTTTTTTTTTTTTACATTCCTGAGAAGGTGCAAGGAAAATGAAATTGCCAAAAGAGACGCCCATGTCTATCAAGAGCAGCTTCATCTATTTCAGAATTAGATAAAATATTCTTGAAAGTTTTGATTAGAATCCCCCCCTTTTTTAAAAGCCCATCCCACTACAAAAAAACAAAAAACGAAGATTTCCCAATCTAAACATCAAATACCCTTTTTCCCTATTTTTTCTTTCTTCTCACCCAAATTATCACACCAATAACTACCTTTATTCATTATGGCTCAAGAGCCCATCCAGCAAAGTAAAACTGCTATCCGTCATGGTACGGGGCTCATGGTCGTGCGACCACCAACCCCATCCTTGGTACCTCTCATAAACGTCCCAGTCCCCCCTGCAATCCATCGTGCATATGCTCGAGCCAACGACCAAGCATCTGCGACTTTAGAATCAAACACTACAGTCAATGTCAATATTAATGTCAACGTAAATGTCTTGATGGAAGGCCATGTTTTTGTTCCCGGACAAACAATCAACGAGATTGCAATGCAGTCAGCAGTTGCTGCTTCGACATTGACAGTTGAAGTACCTAAGCGCAAAAAGTCAAAAGTTAAAGTCAAGACCTTACCTCCAACATCACCACAAAAACAACAAACCCGACCAGCGTACTCAGGTCCGCCTGTGAAGACTCTTAACTCTTCACTTGGTGTGCCAACCCGCAGACCCCCAGCTACTGAACTTAAACCGTCACCGCTATCTCAGTCGGTAGAAAATGCATCTCCTGAATCATCAGAAGATGAGAGTTCCGAAGAAGAAGAAGATAAATCTGAAGAAGAGGAGAAGGAAGAAGAAGACCAGGATTTAACAAACTCCCAGAATCAAAATACCCCTGAGGTTCCACCACAAACAAACCTGCCCCTGGAATTACCCCCAGCAAAAGACTCCAACCCATATCCCAATCTCCGTGATTCCCTGATTGTTGCGATTGTGAAACCCTACAAGGAAATCACACCTGATGGAACTATGCTCATGCGCTCTCGCAGTCAGAATAATCGTTCGCGGCTGGCTCGAAAGTATAGTGCTAGTACTTTGACCACTAAAAGTAGTAGCAGCCGCACAACCATTACCCCCACCAGTTCGGCTGACAAGCAACATCCTTGTGGGCCAGGTCCATCCGACTCAAGCTACAGTAACATTGGTATCAAGCGTGCTAATACAGTTCATTCTCAAAGTCCAATAGAACCACCAAGAGAAAAATCTGAGCGACCATCTGCAGCCCCAGTCGCATTCCGCTTACCGTTTCAACTCCCAACATCAGACCCTCAAGTACGTACAGGTCTAACACCGCCAGTTAATAATCAACGACCAAAACTTTCTGTCTCAGCAGCAGCAGCAGCAGCAGCAGCAGCAGCTACACCTTCTTCATCCGAATCATCTTGTTCAGAGTCCAGTTTTTCATCACCTACATCCCCACTATCACCCGAGTCGCCACTATCTCCACTGGACAAAAAGCTTGGCCATTTGGCCCCGCCTTATCACCCGCCTCTCAAAGCACCTATTGATGCGCAACCCGGGACTCAGTTCACCCCAACCCCATCTCAAACCCCTTTAGTTTCTTCACCTCAGCCTTCTTACACGCCCAATAATTGGCGCCGGCCTTCTGCGCCTGAACCTTGTGCTCGAAATCACCCACTAATTCACCACCACCACCAGCAGCTGCAACAACAACAAGGCGCAGACAATAACGGATATGCATTAGCTACAGCTCAAACTACTACGGGAATAGTCAATGTGATTCCGTCGGCAGCTGGTCCTGGAAACAGACAAGCCATGACGCCTCATTATGGACTGCAACAAATGCGGCCCTACCGCAGAGCAACCGAAATTTCGCCGGGACAGGCATCCGACTTGAACAACTCCCTAAATCTGAAAATTTCTCAGCAACATATTCAGCAATCTAAGACATACAAGTCTTTTTCGCTGTCGCGGCAACTGTCACTCACAGAAGAAGACCATGACGCTCACAAGCTTCCTAGTTTTTCAAGTTCCTCGGAAGATACAGAGCCATATCAGCAACAGTCTACTTCCGTAAGCGCTGAAAACTACGTAGGAAAGGTCGCATCTGTTTCTGTTAATAATACCACCATTACCAGTGAGGTTAGATTGCCGCCTGCTTCTGACATGACTCAAATCAAGATCCAAAACGAGGAAAAGGATAAGCGACACCAACAAGAAGTTACATGCTCATCTTTGATTGAAAAGCCTGTACGGAAAACAGTTCCTACTCCGCTTGATCTTGCACCTCCGCAGTTTGTGGCTTCACTTCCGTCATCACCTAAAGTTTTCGAGGTAGCTACCTTGCCAAAATCAGCTCCGGCAAGCAAGACAACATTTGGAAACATTCCCGATACTGGTAATCAACAGTCAAAAGTCATTACAAAAATTCAACCTCGTTCCCATCTTAGCCCGACCTCAACTACTACTGCGCCCACAATGGGCTCTAGTCTTATGGCACCAGGCGGACCTTCGCTTTTGGATGTGCGCCGCATCATACAACAACAGCTCGGAGGAGGCTTGCCGATGCCCAACGGTAACGGTACTAGCAACAAGCATGTGCCCGTGGTGCGGGCCAGTGCGTTGTATGATTACGAACTTGAATTGTATGACGACTACATGCATTCGAGTGGTGGAAGTGAGGCCAGCACTCCGCGAGTCTCAAGCGTGCAATCATGGGGCGATAGGACGTCTTCCGAGATAAATGTTGATCAAATAAGAGTTTAGAATTTAAAGTTTAGAGTTTATAGAATATTTTATGTTTTCCTTTGACGAAAAAAAAAAAAAAAAAAAAAAATTATTTTTGAGTACGTCTCATGTACGTGAAAAGTAAACTCTACTATTGGGATGAGCTTACATTTAATTTACAGACATAAAGTTCAACAAAAGTGATAAGAAGATGGATAGTCTTTAACAATGGAAGGTGCGATATAATGGAGTTCTCCATCGCGCAGAATTTTTGGCAAGGTGCCTTCGGTTACTTGTCCACACAATTTGTATGGGAAAGTAGACACTGGCTTCAACGAGTTGCGGTACATTTTCAAGTCAACCACAACAGCATTAGAGATATTTGTAAACATGTCAGGTTCTTTAAAAGACATGGGCTGGGTGGTATTCACACCTGTAGCAGTCACATTTGCAAATTGCTGAGCAACAGGGCCATTAAGAGTTTTAGTATAAAACTCATCTTCTGGAGATGGCAAAAGTACAACTTTTTCAAGAAAAGAATGAGAGCGAGCACAAGCTGCAAACCATGAACCATGAGCCAAGCCAGGGAACCCCGTGGTAGTCAATGACGTGAGGTTGCGCAGCTTTTCATAAATTGTTTTCATAAGTAGCTCATTGAGCGCGAGCTGCTGGAATCGGACTACCGCCCCATTAAATTGTTTATTATTATTGTAGCAGTCTGTTGAGAGGTTTTTTACTGCGCAAGGAGGCGTATTGGCTAGCACTTTAGAGCTAAATGCTGTGTCATTACATATAAGGTAATCAAGGTAGTTTCTAATAATCATTGTTCTTTGCTCTGATAGCTGAACTAAATGGGACTTAAAATAAAACCATTCTGACCAAAATATTTCGTGACTTCCCTTGGATGCCATGGGTTTAAGATTCTCTATAGTATGACTTGTTTCAGAGGGGATAAGCCGACATGCACCAGGGAAATGATAAAATAACAAAGGTAAATCAAAATGAGGAATAATTGCCGACATCTCAGGGAGATTCAATAGATTGAGAAGAATATCTGGAGAGATTACTCGAGTTTCTTTGGGACCCATTGCAGCTTTGAGACGGTCATACTCACTGGGCATGATTGTGGAATAATCTAACAGTAACTTTAGTTTTTGTTGATTAGTTTCTGAATATGGTTTTAGAAAAATGTCAAATGTGTCAAATGTGTCAAATGTTTTTTTGTTTTTAAAGGGGAAATTCTCTGGCTCAATTGATTGCAAATATTTAAAAACAGTTTCGAAAATTGGCCGTGATGTATCTTCAGTGTCAGTCTCTATTAATGGATCTATATCAATCTCCAAAGTTTTCAGATGAATAAACTGGCCCAAAGCAATCAAAAGAAAACTAATTTCTGGCACTAGATAATGGTCGTAAATCCCCAGTCTGAGACTGGTAATATTGAGAGGTTGGTCAAACCATTTCGTGTTGATTCCAGTGGTTGGATTAAAAATCTCTTTCCAAGCTGATGGAGCCACAGTTCCATCAAGTGCTTTGAGTCTTGGGAAAACCAATTTTTGAATGAAACCGAGAGCACTAGTAGAAAAGGAACCAGTTTCGTAAGCAAGTTCAGTGACTTGGGGGATTTCAAATTCTTCCATATCACTTGGGTACAATGCTTGTGGGAGAGCATTGGGGTGAAGATTGAAGCGAAGCAGACACTTTTCCAGAGTTGCAGGAAGCAGAAGCAAAGGCTGAAGTTTGTAATAGTCGCAAACATAGTATGTGACAATCACTTTTTTAAGGGTCTGGATAGCAGCAAGAGAAATAAAGGCTCTACGGTAGTTTTCGCGGGGTGAATGCCGAGCAAGGTCGAGGTGAATACTGGAGAGATTTTCAAACGGTGGGACCGAGATGAACTCTACGGGCTGGCGCAAGAGACGCAAAGAGATGTGATTAATATGGGCTTTTGGAGAAAGGTTTTTGATTAGGGAGTAATCTCCCACACGCAAGTCAATCAGCAATGGGGGTTGAGAGATAAGAGTATTGAAAGCAGTTGAAGTTTTTTCAAAAAGAGTGTCAATTTGGGCTTCATTAAGATTGATGCTATCACGCACCGGGATGTCAAGAATAAGTTTCTTAAGCTTAGGGAGTTGGGTGAGACCATTAAGTGCATTGAGGACAGCGACATCCGGGGCTCCTGAAAGGACTACGATTTGGACGTTAAGTGGAGAGAACCAGGCATATGAGTTTGGATGAAGAATAGCCTTTACAGGGACTGAGCGGTAGGCTGGGTGACTGTTTTTATACGAGGAGCCAGTTGGCGAGTCCAGTTCGACAAGAACACATGTGAATGAAGAGGGAGAGTAAATTTGACGAAGGCGTGAGGCTGTTTTTCCCAAAACTGCTTTGTCTGTGGAGCTAAGGTACCAAGCAATGTGGTAGTGAACCTCAGTTGGGAGAATATCCAAATGTGACATTGAGACGAGTGAAATGAGAATAAATTGGATATGAAGAAAGAGGCAATTTGAAAAAGAAAAAAAAAAAAGAAAAGAAATAAAGTTTAATTCTTTTTTAAGCGAAATTTTTTAAAGTGATTATTTAAGAGAAATGAAGAAATGATGTTTAGTTTTAATGATAAAAAGAATCCAACTTTTAAGAGGTGGAGATTATATTTTTGGCGGTTTGTGGAGAAGAAAAGACCAAAAAAAAAAAATAAATAAATAAATGCAAATAGTAAGATCTTAGTCATCCAAATTAGGTTGAGGGTAGTAAAATAAAATAAAAATTTTAATATTAAAAACGATTAATGGTTTTTGAATATTAATTATTTAAAATTATATTCAAAATTAAAAAATTAGATAATAAAGTTTCATTCTGATTTCCTTTTTAAAAAAAATGAAAAAGTTTTTATTCAATTAAAAAAACCTCAACCAATCCCCTCATTTTTTTTTTAATTTTTTTTTAAAAAAAAGAAACTTATCGAGACTAATGACCTTTGGGTCAGGTACTCATCAAACACTTTTATATTTTTTTTTTCTTTTTAAATCAAAATTTTTATGATAGTAAACAAATTTATTTTTAATTTCAGGGCTTATTCTTTTATTTTTATTTGAATTTTTCTTTGAATAATTAAACGAGTAGGTATACTTACATTTAACAACAAAAATAACCCAAATTTCTTTGTTTAATCTACAGATGTAAAAAGAAATTATCGCATCAATAATGACAAAAGTTTGCTCAATATTTAGCGAGAAAAAAAAAGAAAGGGGTAATTACCCCTAATACTTATAAGTAGTAATTTGTATGGTGCTGATGATCCTCTTTTTTCTTTTTTTTTTCAGTTTGGCCATCCAGATCAACAGTATCAATAACATGATAATATGCTTGAGAAAAAGCCAAATTAAACTGTAAAACTAGTACAATACTCACAAAAGATAGCGAAGGGGGTTTTATAAAAACAATTATAGCGAAAAAATATATATTACAATAGTGTTACAAAGTCAAAAGTATTACAACTCCACTACCACTTTTCTCGGTGCCTTTGCTCCAGGGACAAAGCACTCAAAAAGCCAAGGCTTCTTTACAAATCTCTTGACAAATAACTAAAGATAGTTTGGTTGATTTAGTTGTTATTAAAGGTGGAACCAGAATCAAAAGTATTTAAGAATAGGGGGAGGTTTGACTTTGAAAAAAAAAAGGGAGCATGATAAGTCAGGGCCAACTTTATTATTAAGAGATTGATGATCTTGGGCCTTATTGATAGTCATAACAAAGAAGACAGGGTGGGGAAACTGAAAGCGGTAAAAAGAATAATTAGCGACTTTTGCTAGGAATATTGGATTTTGAGGATTGCAGATAGTTTGTCTTTGTGATTTCCATGGAGATATCGGACAAAAATGAAGTGTCTGCTGATTTTACAAACAATAAATCTTGTGCCGCTACAAAGTGCTCTTTTGATTCTGACCGGAAAATGATTGAGATGCCAATTTTAAAAGAAAAGAGATCTGTAAAAATAGAGAGATCAGTTATAGTAGATTAAAAATTGCGGGTGTGACACTGAGACCATTTTAGTCGTTGAAGTTACAGGCGTATATGTAAAGATAATAACGGGAAGCATATCTTTAATTAAAGTATTGATATTATATTGACATATTTTTTTTTTTTTTTTTTTTTTTTGTAATCAGATGGCGTGTTCGCTAAAAACAATAGCACTAGTTATTAAATTTTAAGTGGAATTTTCATTAGTAGACACTTTAGCGATTTGTTGTAAGGTTTTAGAAAGATATATCGTGCTGGATGAAAATTTTGTTATTGATGATGATGATTGAAAGATGAATATTGACATTTTGAGTCAAGTGATTGTAAGAATGATATTGTGAAGTTAAATGAAATAACAATTCAGGATATTGTCTGTTAATGAGATTTACAAAGTCAAGGCGTATATTTTAATTCATCTTGACACTTTTGATAGATAAGATCTAAAAAGACAGGCGTTAATTACTCGACCTTTGCCTATATTGAAGGACAACAAGCAGTGTATGGGACCAATCATCTGCTAAACAACAGCAACCCCGCCAAAGAGAAGGTTGTTTTTGTAAAAATTTTAATTGTTTTGTTTTGTTTCCTTTTTTTTTTCTTTAAAAATAAATATATATATATTTTTTTTCATTTGTATCAGGCGAGAGAGTATGATCTGATTACATTTAATTGACAAACATATATAGTTCAACAAAAGTGAGAATCATTCCAATAAATATGGAAACTATCAGTCTAAGGTTCGATATAATGGAGTTTTCCATCGTGCAGAACTTTTAACAAGGTTTCTTTGGTGACTTGTTACACTGTTTGTATGGATCATACGCCGCCGGATTCGATGAATTCAAGTTGCAGTACATTTTCAAGTCAACCATATTTGAGTTTTCAACAGATTTGTGCCAGGTGGAGGCTTATATTTGTAGCAGTCACATTTGTAAATTTTCTGTGCAACAGGTCGATTGAGTGTTTTAAAGTAAAACATATTTTCAGGAGATGGCACAAAGTACAACTGTTTTTTTTTTTTTTTCAAGAGAAGAATAAGACCGAGTACAAGCTACAAAATATGAATCATGAGCCAGACTAGGGAACTCCGTTGTTTTCAATATAGTGAGGTTATACATCTTGTTTTAATAAGTAGTTCATTGAGCGCGAGCCACTGGGGTCAGACTACTGAATATTGAAATGTTTCGACAGTGAAAGGTATGAGAGATCTTATCTTGTGATGAAATTTTTTTGATATGAATTATAAATATAATAATAACATTTTGGCCAGGAAATTTTGTGACTATACTTAAATTTCATGACTTTAAAATGATCTACAGAAAAAAAAAATTCATTTTAGAAGGGAGAGTTCACCATGCACTAGGGCGATGACAGAATAACCATGGTAGATCAAAAGTAGCAATCATCATAGACAATTTAGGGAAATTCGATAGATTAAGAAAAAAAATCTGGAGAGATTACTTAAGTTTCTTTAGAACCTATTACCTTTTCAAAAAGGGAATATTCTGTGTGCATGATGGTAAAGTAATCTAACATTAAAATCTAGTTTTAGGTGATGGGTGTTTAACGTTTTCTCCAAAATGATTTTGGAATCAATCAAAAACCTTGTTTAAATTAGGAGGTAGATTCTAGGGCTCAATTGATTACAAGAATTTAAAAAATGGATTTGAAAATTAACGGTGGCAATTTATTATCATTGAGATCTACTAGATTGAACATGATAATTTGCAAAGTTTGCATGTTCGTAGTAATCAGGCACCCGGAAATCAAACAATAAGTTTCTGGGATAAAATAACCCTTTTGAATATTGAATCCGAGGCTGGAAAAGTTGGTATACTGCTAAAACTATTTTTAAGGCGATTCCTTTTATTTTTTTTTTTAATATAAACTTGTCTTGCTACGAGTACGGGCTTATAAGAATACAGGGTGAAAGAGAATGGAGAGTATATTTGGTGAAGGTGTGAGGCTGTTCTTCTCAAAAGTGCTTTGTGTACATACATGTATGTGGATCCAAAGTACTAAGCAGTGTGGTAGTGGACCCCATTTGAGAGAAGAAAATCAAAAATAGAACATTGAGACGAGTGGAATGAGGGTAAGTTAGATATGAAGAGATATGTTATTTAATCAGAAGAATTTGGAGGTTTTTAAGAGAAATTTTATTGATTTAAATTGGATATAGAGACACATGGAATGAGGGTAGGATAGAAGTGAAGAAAGTGATTATTTGAAAAAAAAAAAAAGATTTAAATAGTAAGATATTAGTAATCAAGGTCAAGTTGAGGATGGAAGAAAAAATAGGATAATAAGATCTTAGTCATCAATGTCAAGTTGAGGATAGAAAAAGAAAAAGAAGAAAAAATAAAAAATAAAAAAATAAAACGTTTTAGTTTAAATTGATATCTTCAATTTGAATAATAATATTCAAGTTTACACTAAATATTTTACTCAGGATTTTTTTTTAAAATATATATATATATAGATAAAAAGATTTTGAATTTTAATTTGAAAAACCTCAACCAATCAATCAATTAACAAACCCTCTTCTTTTTTTTTGTTTCAAAAATAAATGATGTCTTAGTTAAGTGCGCACTGTATAGTAATTGTATATATATATTTTTATTTCGAATTCATAAATGTTATACTTGAATTTAAGTTGAAAAACAAAAATGTAATAAAATAAAATAAATGAAAAACAGCAAAACAGCAAAACAGCAAAACAGCAAAACAGCAAAACAGTAAAATAGCAAAATAGCAAAATAGCAAAATAAACAACCATTTTCTTTTTTTTTTTTTTTTTTAAAAAGAAATCTCTCTTATGAATAAAAGAAAAAAAAATTGCTAATTAGCAATATTATTTATAAATATTTGAAGCAACAACAAAAAAAAAAAAGGGGAGTAAAAAGAAAAGGGGGAGAAACATAAGAAGTCGTGGTTTGTATGATACTGATGATGCAAATGATATTTTTTTTGTTTCTTTTTTTATTTATTTATTTAGCTATCCAGAGTTTAATATTAATGATACGACAATACGTAAGAAAAAAAACAATCAAGTTAAAATATAATTATTGATTTATATATTATTATTTCCGTAACAATTTTATTATTGTTTTTTTTTTCATATATTTTTACCTCCTTTTAATGGCTTACTGAGAAATCCAGTCCAAAGTCTATCTTTTTTTTTTTGTTTCATTTATCTGTCAAATTTTTCAAGAAAAAAATTTTTTTTTTTTTTTATTTCCATATCTATAAACTTGATCGATTTTTTTTCAACAGAAATGTTACCGCGGGGGAGAAAGAAATGTATATATATATATATATAATACTCGTGATATTAAGGACTTTCTATATTTAGTATACCCAATTTTTTCTTTATTCCTTTCCCTTTCCTTTCCTATTAATTTTTATAGTTAAGAATATTATGTAAAAAAAAAAAAATTTTTTTTTTAAAACTGAAAGAGAAAGTAATTGCGAATATTGTAGATAGGATCAAATATATTCTTCAATCAGGCCAAAATATGAGGTAAAAAATCCGTTTGTAAATCTTTTCAAAAAAATTTTTTTTATTTTTTAATTTATTTTATATAATAATTTAATAATAATAAAAAAAAATTAGGTAATTGATTTTCTATTCAAACACCCCATATTAATTTTTTTTTCTATATGTATGGCCAGCATAAGTAAAAAAAAATCATTTCTAAAAGATCAATTTTTATTTTTATTTTTATTTAATTTTTTTTTATACATAGAGAGCCATTTGAAAGTCTTAATATTGAAAGGTTCTATGACAGGTTATAATAAATAAATAAATAAATGAATAATATCAAAATTTATTTACTTCCTGGTATGCTGGCTATTTTATTTATTTATTTTATTTTATTTTTTGATACTTGCATTTATTGTGTGGATATATAACCTCTAGTCTGAATTTTTTATTGTGTCCAATAGTTTAACTAAAATTAGTCAAGAAAGGTAATCAAAACAAAAAAAAAAAAAAAATTGGATTTTTAACTCAAAATTAGTAGTAACTAATACTTTTCACATTATTATTATTATTTAATTTTTATCTGTTTCTTTTGTTTCTTTGATTGCTCTTGCCAAATATTGATTAAAAATCTTTTTTTTTTATTATTATTTTTTTTTAAATAATAATGTAGAAAATTGATAAATTAAAATGTAGAAAGAGTTTTTTTTTTTTTTTTGTTTTTTAAAGAATCAAATAATCCCGTGTAAAAACTTTGATTTTTGTCACTCAAAAAAAAAAAAAAAAAATTTTTTCTTCCTTCCTTTATTTCTTTTTTTTTTTTTTTTTTTTTTTTGAATTAAATTAAAACTTTTTTATTTATTTGTTTCGGTATATATGAGAAAAATACCTAGTATACTGCATTTATTTCTTCTTTTTTTTTTTTTTTTTTTTTTATTCCGTGGAATCCAATTGTGAAATTATATTTCTTCCATTACCCCCCTTCTTTCTCTCTCTATATATGCAGTATTTTATCTATCAATACTACTTAGTACTACTTAGTACTACTACTACTACCTTCATTACTGCCGGACATAATTATTTAATTTATTTTAAAAAGAACCGATAGGTGTTTCGTTCCTTGGCTTTTTAATTTTTTAAAAATTTAATGTCGCAATTAATTTATTATTATTATTATTTTTTTTTTTTACATATAGGAAATATACGTATCAAAAAAAAAGAAAAAAAAAAGTCAACAAAAAAAAGAAACACAAATATATATATTTTATAAATTAATAAAATAAAAATACAATTATATTAACAATGATGAACTTTATATATAATATATATATATATATATATAATAAAAAAAACTTAGTATCCATAATGGCGAAGATGATGTGAAGCTGAAGAATATGGTCCACCGTTATTATTATAATTACGGCTGTTGTTGTTGTTGAGGTCACGATAGTTTGGATCCACGTTGTATGAGTACCGACGTGACAACAACTCAGGGTTGCTTGGAGTTCCAGGTGAAGTCACAGCAACAACAGCTGGATATTGTTGAGTTTGATGTTGTTGCAAATGTAGCTGTTGCTGCTGTTGCGCTTGTTGTTGAGCCAAGTGTTGCTGTTGCTGCGCTTGCTGATCATATCCAACACTATGGTTTCGTACCCCAAGCACAGGTAATGGAGGTAGCGGAAGGCTATTATTAGTAGTATTATTAATGAATGATGATGATGATGATTCCAATGCCCCAGAAGTCCCATTAACCAGTGGAGAATATCCTTCCATCAAATGATGATTATGATGATTATGATGATTATGATGATGCGGAGGAGATGTGGAGGATGATGCTGGTAGAGGCGACAATGATGGTGGTGGTGGTGGTGGTGCAAGAGAGTAGACAAAAGACCCTGAACTAGGTTTGACTGAAGACCCTACACCACCAGCACCAAGCTTAGGAAGAGGTGGCAGCATACTTGACGACGACGATGATGGCGTTGACCGAGAAGCTACAGGATAAGAGTAATATGGTCTATAAGAACCCAAAGGCTGTTGTAGTTGCTGCTGTTGCTGCTGTTGCTGCTGTTGTTGATGTTGCTGCTGTTGTTGATGTTGTTGATGCTGGTTTTGATGCTGTTCATGATGCTGTTGTTGTTGTGTGAGCAATGGAGAACCAATGTGACCCGTTCCGGGAGACTTTTGCGGATACCCGCCCAGCGGGCCATCCTTTGACACACGACCAGCATTGTTGTTGGCCGTGGGCTTTTCTTCTTCATTGCGGTTCAAAATGTTTTGCAGAAATGAAGAGCCCGGCGGGCTGGGTTGGTGAGAATTTATTGTTGCTGTTGCTATTGCTGTTGCTGTTGTTGCTGTGTGTGATGCTGTGTGTATTGCTGTAGGTGTAGCTATAGGTGTAGCTGTAGGTGTAGCTGTAGGTGTAGCTGTAGGTGTAGGTGTTAATGATGACGACGGTGTCGGTGATGGCTTACCAAGCATCACATGCTGAGAGACAAAGGCGTTATGCACTGTCCCCGCCGCCGCCGTCGTCGTCAGTGTGGAGTGAAGCATCAGTTTATTACCGACTTTGGCAGACTCGGTGCTTCTCGATTGAACCATCGGCTGAGCCGACGGAATATCCGCTGAAATTCTTCCCAAACTTTTTGTCACTATGGGCTTTTCCGAAAGGTACTGCTGCTGAGTCAATTGCCCATCGGAGCTATTGTTATTACTGCTAAAACTGCTATTACTGCTAAAACTGCTGTTGTTACTGTTGCTGCTGCTATTACTTCTGCTGTTGCTGCTGCTGTTGCTGCTGCTGTTGCTGTTGTTGTTGCTGTTGTTGTTGCTGTTGTTGTTGCTGTTGTTGTTACTGTGTGATTTGATCTGATCATCTTTGATTGCAGCTGCATGCGCTTGCAACAAGACATTTCCCATCAAGTCATTGGCACAAGATGCAGCCTTGAGTTGTTCAATCTCACCAGTGGGCAAAGCCATGACACACTCAAGCTCACGTAAACACTTCTTGACTGTCTTGATGCGCTTACGCTTCCTCTCGTGCTTCTTTTCTTCGTCTTGGCCCAGGTCCGCGTCTGCATCCGAGGCTGCGTCTACACCTTCGTCATTGTCGCCCGTTGTAATGTCGCTCATGGACGAATGCAGCCGCTTAAGCACTCCGTGCATATAATTGTTGTAAGAAATCTGCGCGTCATTTAGCTGTCGGTTACGCTTCAAAGACTCACCAGCTAGTTTTAGTGAGTCCACAAAGTCATTGGTTGGAGAGAAGTTGCTAGGAGTTTCAGGGAAAATCAAGTTTTTGAGAGGTTGATAAGCTTCTTCTTCTTCTTTTTCTTTACCATCTGAATCATGCTGAGAATTTAAAAGAGAAGAAATGCTGGAGACGTTATTGTTGGAATGGCAAAAAGAAGAAGAAGAACAACTAATGATGCTATTGGAGATGCTGGATTTCTTGCTAGTAGTGTTGCTATTTTTATTGGTGGTGAGACTGTTGTCAGGAGTTGCTTTGTTGTTATTGTTATTGTTATTGTTGCTGTTGTTGCTGTTGTTGCTGTTGTTGCTGTTGTTGCTGTTGTTGCTGTTGCTGCCGCTGCTGCTATTGTTATTAATACTGCTACCGCTACTGCCAACATTAGTACAAGCTCTATTGTCGATTCTGGGCGCAGCCCCAAATTTGGCTGGAAACGTGTCCACATCAAGGTCTCGTACAGGAAGGAAAGTAACGCTAAGAACAATGTCTTCAGATCTGTTTATGGGGCTTTTAGAACCAAGCTCATTTTTAATCTCCTGGCAATCTTGTATAACCGATGAATCAAAGGGAACCAACCCACTTTCTTGCCAGAGTTGTAAAATCACATCTTTAGTCAAATATTTGTGCCGAGCATCATTAATAAGGGAAACAAACTTCAAGACCGAAGGCCGACCTTGAGCATCGTCTTCATTACTTGATTTGCTGTAAATGTCCGACATGAGACTAGTAAGAAGTGGGTTTGTAAAGGGATGCAGGTTGGGGATCGCCAAAGCAGGAGTAAAAAGTAGAATGATTTTATTCTTGACGGCAAACTGGAGCAAAGCCGTAGTAAAATGAACTGCATGAGTGTCGAGAACGACAAGACGGTATTCACCTCTGGCCTTTGCACGAGTCAGCTTGTCGAAATGGTTTTCAAGCCAGTCCATAATGGTTTCACTATTTGGCCATCCCGATTTTGTGGATGCTAACCCCCAGGAACCATAAGCAAATGGGTCGCTTGAGGGGAGCCCGTTGGGGCAAATAATAGAAGAGGCTTGTTGGTACATCTTGTCGCAGAAAATGGTATAGGGCGGCAAAAGAGAACCGTCGGCGCAAATGGTTTCGATAATAGTACATGTTTCAGCAGGAGGAGGAGGAATGAGAACGTGAGAGCTGTCACTTGGAGACTCTGTGCGATTGGTAGTGGCTGCTGCTGATTTAAAAGGATTCAAATCTCTATTTTGAGTAGATGGACTAGAATGAGGGAAAGCAGGACCGCGACAAAACCCAAGTTCATCAACACAGTAAGTATTACTGGGGTCCACTTTATTAGCCCAAAAAACTTCTTCGAATTTCTTAAACCAGCTTTCTACAGCCTCGGAAGATGAATGAGAGTTTAAAGGCTTGTGAAGAACGGCATAGTCGCGAGCATCCATAGAGGGGTGCCTTCGACGAAAATGACGGTACCATTGGCGGGTGACTTTTTCAGGGTCTGTATCTCCTTGGGCTTGAAGAAAGAGGTTTGCTGCTTGAACAAAATGAGGTTGTGTGTAAGGTTCGCCAATATAGACAGTTGTGAGAAGCATTTTTTCAATAATTGTTTCTTCCAAAAAGGAAAGCTTCATGCGGGCTTCTTGAGCTTTGACTCTGCTTTTACGGCCACGGAAACGACCATAAACGGTGCCAAAAGAAATTCCAATTTCCTTTGCGGCTTGTCTGTATGAAAGACCTTCTTCAACGCGGGATAATGCGCGAGAAATTTTTTCTTCACGTTCTGATTCATCTTGAGCTCTTTTACTTGGGACGTTTCTAGAGCCCTGGGTGAGAGAAGAGGAGGAGGAAGATGAAGATGAAGACGAAGATGAAGAAGAAGAAGATGATGATAATGATAATGATGGGACAGAAGGTGCTATTGGTAAAAGTAAAGAACCTGGCGGGGGTTTGCCTGGGTTTGAGTGTGGATTGTTGGTGGACATTATTTGAATGTTTTTTTTTTTTTTGGTTGCTGTGATAGATTTGACAAATATATTTAGGAGGAGGAGCAGAAGCAGGAAGAGCAGTTGTAGTAGCAGCAGGGTTGGTTGTTTATATAAGAAAAAAAAAAAAAGGCACGGGGCACCTAAAGGAACAAAATACAAAAAAAAAAAAAAATAAATAAATGAAAATAAAAATAAAAATAAAAAGAAAAAAGAAAAAAAAAGTTTGAATAGATGGAATATATAATAAGATTAAAAAAAAAATAATAATAATAATAAAAATAAAAAAAATAAAAATAAAAAAAAACAAAATCTTGCAAACCCGGGCGGTGGTGGTCATATATACGTTGGAGTTAAATGCTATAGGCAACAACTATTAAAAGTTGCATTTTGGTGTGAGAGCAATAATTTTAAGAATTTTAAAGGCTGATCCACTGTTACAATGACCTCTAAGGAAAAACAACCACGCAAACAGAAATAGAAATAGAAAACGAAACATCAAGTTAATCAGGCTTATTAAGTCTATCATTATTATTATCATTATCATTGTCATTGTCATTGTCATTGTCATTGTTATTATTATTACTATTATTACTATAATAATTATTTATAAATTTATTATTATCATCCTCGGTATCAAAAAGTTCTATACTTGGCTTTTGTCTTTTCTTACTGTTTCTTGTCCAGCCGTTAATGGCGGTTATTTTATTTATTTTTATTTTTTTTATTTTTATTTTTTTTGCGTTTCTTGAGCCGCTCTTTTGAATTATTATTTTTTTTTTTTCACTCAAATTTCCATTGGAATTCTTCAATTTTTTATTTATTTAGTATTTTTTTCTTGTATTTCCAAATATTATGAGAAAAAAAAATTAATTTTTTTTTTCCTATCAGAAATCGACTGAAAAAAAGAAAAAAAGAAAAAAAGAAAAAAAGAAAAAAAGAAAAAAAGAAAGAAGTTTGTTGATATTTTACATGAAGACCTAATATTTGTAACAAGTATATAATATGTAAAAAATGGATAGATGGATAGATGGATAGATGGATTGATAGATATAGATAGATATAGATAGATAAATACATAAATAGATAAATGAATGGATTATAATCAATTAGAAACTGGAAAGAAACAATGTCCTTTTTTTGTTATTTTTTTTTTTTTTTTGGCATACTGAAGATATCTATCTTTCTTTTTTTTTGACCTAGAGTAATTTATTGAAACAAAAAAAAAAAAGAAAAAAATTATAAATAAAAAATAAAAAAAGAAAAAAATAAAACTTTTCTTTTTTTTCTTTCTTTCTTTCTTGATTGAATGATTGAATGATTGAAATACGCTAGACCTAAAACTCGTCCAAACCCGGCGCACTATAATATTTATGTCCAACCCTCTAAAAATAAAATAAAATAAAATAAATAAAAAAAAAAAAAATTTCTTCCACTCATTAAACCAAAGGCCTACGGAAGCCGCCGCCAACTACCGAGATTTAGAGAGGGCTTAAATTAACGGTTAAAGGTTTAAACGCTGACTCATCATTAGTAATAAAATTTATGGGCTTTATTTAAATTACACACACTCACTCACCCACCCACCTCATTCATTCAATCATACAACCGCCAGTAATTACATGTCTTAAAGAAAAGAAAGAAGGAAAGAAAAGAAAGAAATCATGGAGAAGTTTGACCGGATAAAAGAAAAAAAAATGAATATATAAAAAGGGATACTTGAAGTAACTGATAACATCAAAAGAATATATAACATTGAAGTTGGATCTTAGGTATATTTAAATATATATATATATATATATTTAAATAAATAAATAAATAAAAAAAAGCAACTCGAATGAATGAAAATTGGAAACAATAATTTGTTAAATTAATCATGTCAAATTTCTACTTTTTATTATTTTTCTTGAATACATTCAAAAAAAAAAATAATCTTTCACTGCCTCAAAGAAGAACCTCCTTTGGCTTTTTTTATTTTTTTTATTTTTTTTATATATATTATATAACTTCAATTTCCCAAATTTTCGGAAATCTGTTTCTATTTTTTTTTTTTTTTTTTTTTTGAAAAATTCCATTAATGGATAATGGTTTAATTACCATATATGGTATAAATTTAATCGTAATTATTACGTTGAGAATAAATAAAAAAAAATGAGAATCAGAAAATGATAATACTTTACCCAAACTGTCTAGCTTACTTTTGAAAAAAAAAATTTAATAATAATAATAATAATACAATGATTTTATTATTATTAATTTTTTTTTTTTTTTGATGATATCATATAATTTTTTTTTTATTCTTTCTGTATTTCTTTTTTTTTTTTTTTTTTTTTTACATTAACTTTTATCTTTAAACTTTTTAATTTTTTATATTTTAAAATGTTTGAATGAATAATACATATTTCCCTAATTTTAATCATCTTCATCAATTTTTTTTTTTTCAAATATACAGATCTACCTTAAATAAGTTTATTTATTAATTTTCAAAAGGGAGGGGGTATATATACCTTTCTTTGTTGATTATTTTTTTATTTTGGGTAATCAGAACAGTAAATATTTATATGTGTTTTTTTTAAACTCGTTTATTTTATTTCAAATTTATATAAAATAAAAATAAAAAATAAAAAATAAAAAATAAAACCACATTTTTTCTTCAAAAAGTTATTTGCTAGATCTCTTTATTTTGTTTATTTTATTTTTTTTTTTTTTTTCAATTTTTTAAGAATTTTCTTTTTTTCTTTTTTTTTAAATAACGCATATTAGTGAATTCACTGATTGTTAGAAAAGCAAAAATTAAATAAATAAAATAAATAAAATATCCCACAAGTTTATATATAAAGGAAATTGAACAAGCTTGAGCTCTATTTCAAATTTTTTTTTTTTTTTTTTTTACATTTTCTTTAATCTTAATTGTCAATGTTCCAATTTTTTTTTTTTTTTTTTTTTTTTTTTTGATATTTCCCTTTTATTTTATTTCAATGTTTTGTTTGTTTTGTTGAAACACTATGTCTTAATCTTTACTAATTTTATTGAATATATTGTCTTTTTTTTTTATAATTTTTTATAATTTTGTGTATATTAAAATTATTAATAATTTTATATTTTTGTAACTTTTTTTATATTTTTATATTTTTACTGTCACTATCGTCGGAATATAATGTCCCAAAGGGGAAGGTACCTTAAAGTTACGTACTCATTCCCGCCTCCACACAATAACAAAATTTGGCTCTCATACTTTGAATCATCCATCCATTCCATTATTGTATTATTATTATTATTATTATTATTATTATTATTATTATTATTATTATTATTATTATTATTATTATTATTATTATTATTATAATAATAATAATAATCTAAAAAATATATATATATATATTAAGTAAAAAAAATTAATAATAACAATCTCGGCAAAAAAAAAAAAAAAAAAAACCTCCATTTCTTATTTTTCTTCTTCTTAATATTCATTTATTTTCACTTTAGTAGATGATGACTACTAAAATATTTCCCAAAACGTCACTTTGGGTAATTCGCCTAATCATCAGTCATCCCACATTGCATCCACTAGTTTTTTTTTCTAAATGACTCTCTTTCTTTGATTCTCTCGCTTCTTACACTATTTATTTATTTATTTTTTAATATTTAAAAAAAATATTATATGTTGTTTATTTATATATATATTACAATTACTTTTATTTATACCTACTATATTCTATTTATAATTGTTTCTTTCATTTTATAAACCATTATTTTGTTATAGAAAATATCTTTATTATGATTTTAGATAATAGAATCAACAATTTCAATATTTAATTTAATCTAATCTAATCTAATTTAGTTTATTTTATTTTTTTTGACCATTACCGTTGCTTTTTCGTAAGCTTAGGATATCTGGATATATATAAAAAAAAAAAAAATAAAAATAAAAATAAAAACACCATTTTAATGCCCAGTTTTCGTCGATTGTTCGCTTACGGATAACCAGTTATCCACAAGTTCCATCACGTGAATCTGGTACTAAAGGCTTTTCCACTAATTTTTTTTTTTTTAATGTCCCAAGACGCTTTAATAGGCAACTGAACAAGGCAAACGCCAAACTTTGTTTTTTTTTTTTTTTTTTTTTTTTTTTTTTTTTTTTTTAAATAAATTAAATAAATTAAAATAAATTAAAAAAAGCCTTCAAATATTACAAATAAATAAGTAAATAAAACATCTTTAGAAACAAAAAAAAAAAAAAAAAAAAAAACCGTTTCCGCCGAAGGTGGCTTTGAAGTTGTCAAGCTTGAAAAAAAAAAAAAAAAAAAAAAATTTTTTTTTCTTTTTTTTTGTATAAATTTCCGCCTTAATTAAATAAATCTTTTGGTCTTTGACTTCTCAAGCCCCTCTTAACCTCCCCGCGGGCACCGGTTAAAATTGTGTTACTTATTTACATATTCATAACAGACTATCACAAATTATGTATGAATAATTTTTTTGTTGTTCATTTTATTTTACTCGGGTATTTAAAAAAAAAAAAAAAAAAAAAAACTAAAATTATTGTTTTATTTTTATTTTTTTAGACTGAAATTTTTATTTTAATCCTCGGCGGTTATTAATGAGTATAAGTATTTTTTTTTTAATAATTGATTTCAAATATTTCAATTAAAAAAATTATGTATTTAGAAAATGCCAACTAACTTTCTCGCTCATTTTCCGTTTTCATTGTTTTTTTTATTTCTTTTTATATCTTTTTTATTTCTTTTTATATCTTTTTATATTTTTTTTATTTCTTTTTTATATCTTTTCAATTTTTTCTTTCTTCAAACCCTCGCTCTTAATAGCCTCACGTCAAATTGCAATTACAATTGCTATTGTAACAAATATATATATATATATATCTAAGTACTTTTCAAGCATTGTTGTTCTTTTTCTTCTTTCATTCTTTTTAATTAATCTTCATTATCTACAAACCATTTGATTCTATTTCATTTTTGATATCTTTTACATCTGTTTGCGTG